GGATTTTTATTTATTGGGAACTATGAAAGATTTGGACTTTTAGGACTAAGATGAGAAGACGGGACATCTCGCGAGCAATTCAGAATCTGAGGAAACGCGTAGAATTGTGTTTAGAAATGGAAGGTGGAGCATTCGAGCATCTTTCATAACTTTGTTTTGTTTTGCGAAGAATAATTTTCTAGCTCATTACGTCGTTCCTAATTCAAAACCATAGTTTCTAAGTAGATGAGCTTGTCGAAAATGTGAACGTTCCAGACCCAAATTCAAATGAACTGTAAAAATTCATCTTGTTAAACAAACCCGTCGGCGTTCTTTCCAATGCACTCTTCGCAAAAATGGTTTTTCCCAATTTTTATCAACAGGAAAGATTCGATCATAAAGTTGTGTGTGGTAACTTTGACAGATTCAGATTCCTTGTAAAAAAGTGCCTAGAGAATATCTCAGTCAGAAACGTCTAGGTTTCTTGGTTTCCGCTTGGAAAAATTAAGACGAAAATTATGAATTTCCGTTTTCTTTCAATAATCCAGAAGATAAAAATGAAACATCACATTTTCTTTCAGATAAATGTTCAGCATGAAAATGTGCAATTTTGACATAATTTAACCAACCTCGTATCTCTTTCAATAACCGAGATCCCCATCATGGTGGAGCTCGCAAAACGGACAACCTATATACAGTATGTTCGACTTCGAGCAGCACCCCCCTTGTATTTTCTTATTCGTTGCCTGATTTGAAAATTTGTTCCGCTCAACAAGTATAGTTAATGTGGCCTACTATGATCGATTAATAATCATTCAGATCATCGAGATTTGTCGAACAATTCTCTACCATAATTCCTTCGTTCCTTATCCACGCACAATGTTCCATAAACGTAATAGATATTCTATCTTACGTGATCCTGGAAATTTTCAAGTAGGTACCTCCTTCATCGCAATTACTGTTTCATTTCTGTGAAAAGTTCTTACCGGAGACTAAATAGAAGTCGTTATATCAGAAGAATGATATAGCATTCCCAATTTTTTTTCAATGCATTGCTATTGTGTTTTATCAATTGATTTGATACCTCGATGAGGTTCAGTACGGAAGAATAAAAAAATATTAACGATGGTTCTACAGAACGCTATTGGTTTTCTTTGAATATATGTTTGGAACTACTTTCAGTGAATCATAATTTATAAACTGGCAGTAAACATGAAGGCTATAATTTTCTATAATTAGTCGATTCTAATTAGTAATTTTACACCTATTACAACAATAATTATAGGTTATGGCTTTCATCATAAAACCGGTAAAAACACAAAGCTGTTAGTTTTCGATTATAATTATAGGTGTTTTTGTTTTTGTGAATAGCCATTCACACATAATGTTGATATTCAATCTTAACATAGACGGAACTGAGGATTTTAGTAGGAATGCGAGTTTCTTCCGAAATTTTATAAGTATAAAGAACTTATTCAAGAATGGAATTCAGGATATACTAGAATTCGATATATTATATAGCGTTTAATTTTATGAAATCAAATGTGTTCCAGTGCGATGTGTCCCATCTTTATTTTCAGTGGCAAAATAGGGTTATTGAAAATACCTTGGATTACTCTCAAATGCGCTTCTATATGGTATATATAAATATATACGAGGTATTTCAAATTCGAGGGCTACCGCAGAGATCTCGAAAACTTTAGGTGGTACGAAGATGTTAATATTAGTACCTATTTGATGACCAAAATGTTGCTGCCAGGAAAATATTTTGAAATTCCGAGTATTTCTGGAGATATATAGGTACGAAAAAAACTGAAATGTTCGTTAACCAAGAATGTCAAAATTGATAGCACATTTATACTGCCACTTTTTTCCTGCTATATACGATATGATTTTCAGATCCCCTATCCGACATTTCTTCTTTACGCCTCCATCATCAACTTTATTCTCCCTTATTGGGTGCTTATTAGATTTTTATTAAAAATAATAGTATGGTCAATCTGAGAATGTCATCTCCTAGCAGGAAAAAAGTGATTATGTAAGTGTGCTCCCAATTTTGATATTCTACAATCAATATCACCAGAAAATTATATAAATAATTCACAAATATTTTTGTTTTTCAGTATATCTCCGGTAACACTCGGAATTTGAGAATGTTCTTGACGGCATATAATCAGTTACATATATGAGTGCGCAACTTTGCTCTTATTCAACCATCTTCGTATCTCCTATAACAAAAATGCTGTCACTACATGCAATATGATAATAGAGTAGGACCTATATGATACCTCGGATAAAACTTCACATTGATATTTTGTTGTAGATAGGACCAAATTATTTGTGGAGTTGATGAATCTTCCTTTTCCGTATATAATATAGTTTGCAGTAAAAGAAGTTGACATTCTCACGTGACCGTTAAGTCCTTTGTCTGGGCAAAGATTACTGAATATACTTCTGTATATTCAATGGTCTGAGTTACATTGACTCTCGAAAATGACGTTACAGAATCCCAGTGTTGTCTATAAAAGAAGAAACTGCCATCGTCGGAAATTCTCCTTACATTCCTTCATTCATTCCGTTATATCTTCTGCACGGTCTAATCTTCCATTCATGTCACATCTCCAGGTGTACAATCAGAAATTCGTCTCGCAGAATGATAAGACCCATGCGTATATACCGGAAAGCCTAGGTAGTAATTTATCCCCAGGGAGCCATCCTTTAGGGCCCAAGTGATCGCTCCATCGTGAATGAAGTTATATTCACCACTATTTAGGCCTAATAATGGCCTGTACGGCGTGCATCGTTCTGTGTCATTACAATGACGTAGGCGTGGAACGATTTGGAGTTCTATGATACTCGGAATGGTTTTGATTACGTTGATTGTTTCGAATATCCTGTGGACAGACATTTGTAGGTATATACAGGAGGTGATTCTTGAACAGTTTGAAAAGTTTATTTTGTGTTATAGTTCGCCGTGGAAGTAAAATATGTCTCCAGACAATTTTCAACAGCTGACATATCAGGATCAATTCCAGCAGTTCCCAAACGTTTCTTCCACAAATAAGTATTTCGAATGATGGACATCCTTCGAAAGCCTAATGATGATAAGTAGTTAGTGCATTGTCGTTCTGGATGACAACCTAGTTAGGTAGTTAGTAGGCAGGAGCTTATTATACCTCCTCGCACTAGGTCGCCTACTAGGTTTTCATTTAGATCGACTATGGTTAGTGTATTCAAGATATCCATAAGGAAGTGGTAACATGAACCCCCAAAGATGTCTTCCATGCCCACTATATACTTTATTGATATGAATATTCCAGATATCTCATACAGTCTTTTGATTCTGTTCGATCAAACATTCTCACAAGCTACAAGACGTTCGAAATAACACTCACATCAGGACCAAAATCGTAGGAAAAGTAGGTACTTTATATTGGCTGCAAGCAGCGGCTTATCAGAGAATGGGTGGAATGAGTAGATTCGAAATCTAATCGCGAGAATATCCCGAGGGAGTCCTTGCAAACAGGTGTTTCGATTAATACGCCCATATACAGGGTGTTTCCTAACTACGGTGCCTAACTGCAGGTGGTGATTCGTTAGGTAATTTTAGGACGAAAAGTTCCTATTAACATATGTCCGCAGTTGCTTCGTTTCTGAGATACAGGGCGATGAAATTGAAGAAAACAAACGGTAATAACAAAATATCATGAATATCCTTGAACCGATTTGGTTGAAATTCAGTACTTTCATTTGAACTAATAAGGCGCTTATTTAGCCCTATTCAGATTGTAATTATTAGGGCCAGTGGCGTCCCAGTGGGCACCAGGGCCAACAATATTATAAAAAAAAGTACGCCACTGACTTTTTTTGGTGAATTTTCATTTTTTTAGATTAAGCAACTCAAAATACAACTTTTTATTATCTTGTATTTTCTTCATATCCAGCTTCGTTTTCGAAAAAAAAAATTAAATCCACTGTGTTGCATATCAGATTGCATTGGAGAAATGAGTTTTTCATTATTTCCGCCAAAAATATAATTGACACTTGATATGCAGAAATTTTAGAGAATTTGATAAATAAAAGTACCAAATTTCAACCAAATCGGTTCCAGGATATTCATGGTATTTTATAATTACCGTTTTTTTTTCTTTAACTTCAACGCTCTGTATCTCAGAAACGAAGCAACTCCGGACATATTATGTTCATAGGAACTTTTCTTCCACAAATGACCTAACAAATCACTCCCTGCAGTTAGGAACCGTAGTTAGGAAACACCCTGTATATTGGTGGCCAGGTAGCCGTGCGGACAGAGTGTCTATATTCTAATTCGCATTCGCTTGCCGGTCGTGGGTTCGATCCCCGTCGACTGCAGAAATTTTTCTGATGGCCCAAGAAAGTGTTTGGAATCACACGTTAAAAGGTAAGGTCCCCGTCATTCCTTGCTCGCACAAGACTTTCGAAGACTTTTGAGGGTTGCTCGTAAGGGGGCAACCGAATGACGGATAGAACAAATTTTAGAACAAATATAGTATGCTCTTTTCAGGACTTATCTAAAGGAACATCACTCTGAAATATATCTGAGGATGAATCAAAAACGACAAAAACGTACTTTCATATGTATACTTTCTCAACAGCAAACAGGTCATTTACAGATAAAAAATCTGACATTCAATCAAATGCATATTATAAACATATCTGTTGAGCTCATATTAGATCTGCTAGCAAGAACCTAGAACATGTTTCTGTTAATATAGGAATGTCCGAAAAAATATTGTTTCTGGCAAGAAATCTATAGATTCTACTCTATATCATTGAGTATTCACACTTATTTCGAAATTCATCAACAAAAAACAAGAATAAGAATTCGACTTTGACACTCTGTATCTCAGAAACGAATAACTTGACATCAGCAACACGCTCCTGAATTTTCTACACGTACTTGAGAAACACCCTGTATATGTACTCAAATTATTTTGACATCGAAATTTCGAGGTATTTTCAGTTTTTTCTTTAAATTTCAGGTTGCAGAGAAACGGCCTTCCTCTACGCCATCACTTCGGCGGCGGTGACTCACGCGATCGCTCGCGCATGCTCGGAGGGCACCATCGACACGTGCAACTGCGAGCCGCACTACAAGGGCAGGCCGCAGGTGTTCGCGAACGGCAACAACGCTGGCGGCGTTGCCAACGCGCGGGACTTCGAGTGGGGCGGCTGCTCGGACAACATCGGCTTCGGCTTCGACGTCAGTCGGGAGTTCGTCGATACGGGCGAGAGAGGGAAGAGCCTGAGGGAGAAGATGAATTTGCACAATAACGAAGCTGGAAGATGGGTGAGTTTTTTTTTATGTTCTGGTTCCCACGAAAAGGGATATCCTGTAATGTTCAGAAAATATCATGAGAACCAAAGGAAATAAGGTAGAAATTGTTGTTCCTCTTGAATTTCTGGAGGTTATATGCCTCGGGGAACACCTGCCTTGACAATGTGTTCCAAAGCCTCACTGTTCGTTGGATGGACGAGTCTTTGAAAAGAGATGTTCTGCAGGTCTCCAAAGTGACCACGAAGAGGTGCGAAGCCTCAACTCGACGGGTTGATGTCGCGGGGACTGCCAATGGAGGAACAATTGTTGATATTTCAGAAGAGCATCGTCCATGAAAATATCTATAAAATAGAGCCAGATCGCCAACTTTTCTACGGTGTCCCATAGGAGTGAGTGAGTTTGTGAGCGAGGCATCACCCACGAGACGAATTGCCCTTTTTCGGACAGAATCCAACAGTTTCAGGGTATGTTTGGGTGCTGCACTCCAGATATGGGAACAGTATTCCAGGATAGGTCGGATCTGTGCCTTATAGATCATAAACAGCTGACTGGAAGTGAAATAGCTCCTGGCCCGAAACAGAAAACCAAGTTTTTGGGATGCACTTTTAGCAATTTATTGATCTCACGTGATTTTCCTAAGAGAGGTTATTGCTGATAGTAATACCAAGCATCGAAATGTATGTCTCCAAAGGTATGATTACTCCTGACAAGCTTATGTTGTGCACAGTGAGATCGGCTTTTCTAGAGAAAAGGCATGCTTGTGTTTTGTTTGCATTGAGATCTACCAAGTTATTGGATCCTCATTCGAGAATTGTTGCCAAGTCCATATTTATGTTGTCAACATTTCTCCCTCGTTCGTTTCTGATTTGATTCTGGTATTGGAGCCCTGGAAGAGAAGGCGGTATGGAGGGTTCTATCATCCGCGAAGCTGTGAACTGGACATGAAATTGTTTGCAACAAATCGTTGATAAGGAGTAGAAATAGTGTTGGTGCTAGAATTGATCCTTGCGGAACACCAGGATTCATGATAAGAGAGTCAGGTGAAACTCCGTCGACCACTACATGGAGAGACCTTTTTGAGAGAAAACTAGCTAGCAGAGAACATAGATGGAAGCTTGGCGAGGAGTCCGTGGTGCCAGACTCGATCGAATGCCTTGGAGATATCGAGTGCCACGGCTAAGGCTTCACCATATTTTCCAATAGATTGCTCCCATATATGTGAGACGTAAGCGAGCAGGTCACCAGTTGATCTCTGATGATGGAAGCCATATTGCCTATCGTTGATAATACCTTAATGTTCCAGGTATTTCGTGAGCTCGATTTTGATAGCTTTCTCTATGATCTTTGAAATAATAGATAGCAGTGCGATCGGTCTGTAGTTGCTACGTAGGTTCTTTCCGCCTTCCTTAGGAACTGGTTGTATTCTTCCAGTTGGACGGGAATATCCCCAATTTGTAAGAGAAGTTGAACAACTTGCAGAGAACAGGTGGGATTCCGTCGGAGCCATAAGCTTTGTTGGTGTTGGGACCCAATAAAATCGTCCTTATAGTACGTTGGCGAGTGTTGCTTGGAATGGAGTCTGCCTGTATTGTGAGGATCACCAATGGTCTACCGAACTTATAAAGAGGAAGCTTTCAATCGCAGATTCTAGGAACAAAAAGAGTGAAAAAAGTTAACATGAACATGAGCTCAGAAATGGTACCCTAGAGAGTTGAAGTCATCTGAAAGAGGGCCCGAGATGATGGTCCTTGAACATTTTGAGCATTCTTGAGCACTTGTCACGATTATTGTTACTTGAAATTTAGTTGCAATTGAAAGTTATTCAGGTTTTTTATTCATTGCGGCGTTGGATTGATAATCGAGAGGTCTTCAAGACATGGTACCACGTGACCTCCCTTTGAAAAAAACTTAATGGTGTCCTCTTGACATTAGACCACGTGACCACAACCATTTTCATGGCAAAAGGACCAGAAGGTAGTAAAAGAAGTACTTTTTTCTTGAATTCCAGTCGACCTCGCTGGCTTGTCCCGTTCAAAAGTTGGAGGGGGAGGAGGACTTTTTACGTCGACGACATAAGGCAAATGATAATTTATTTTATACATAAAAAACAAAACGGCCCTAATGGAAATCTGTTTCGTCCAATGTTATCACTAATTTATTTGCCTTCAATGCCGTCAGGAATACACTAATTCATTGATATATTTTCAATTTCAGAATTGTCAAGGAATTTAATAAATGTGTTAATTTTTATCGATACTCAAAAGTCTAATTGAAAATAATCGAGTAAATAGAGAAGATAAGTATATACCAATGATGTTTATATGGATGAAATGAGATGAGATCCATGAGAGCAGCCTAAATGAAACGTGAAGTAGACACATAAAATTATTAGGTGTGAAATATAATGATGAACGATGGATATCTAAGTGCAATACAAAATGGGACACTTTCTCCGATTACTCAAATGCATAACTGCTGGAACAAATTTCTGTAGTTTTGAAAGCGACCACAGTTGGAATCAAACGATTCATGTAAAATTGATGCCGATTAGCATATTTAACCCTATATAATTTAGCCGGATATAAACTTTTAAGCACAGTGAGTAACTGTTGCGTATATATAAATCTCTTCACGCTTGAGTATACCTATCATTTCTCAAGTGGTTTATACAATAGTAATTAAACTAATTTATGAATGGCTAAACGAAGAGCAACGTCGCTGGGAATCTCAACACTAATAATTTCCTGTAGGTCACATAATATATATACTGTGGGCCAACACTTACATTACCTATATGCGTTTGTACAGGTTGTCCCATACGTATAAATATACACGGCCAAAACTCAGAAACTAGGTGAAGTCGAAGATATTTGTCCTTTGAGATGGAATACTCTTGTGAAGTCGTAGGAATAAGAAGACTCTCTTTAGAGTTATCAAGTTTACTGTTATTTCATGTTTTGAAAATATTTGTGTCATCTGGTATTAAGCATCACTTGCATTTCTTAAATACCTATCTGTTGAACAATTTGATATTATCAGGTGATGTGGCAACAGTCGGGCTACAGTTTGTCCTTACTCTCTTATAATAATATAATAATAATAATACATAACAACAACCTGATTTGACCTGTACGAAGTATTTTTAAAGGAACAGACTGTGACCAAATTATTGAACAATGGACACGGATGTATTTTTCGAAAAAAACATACATCGCATACGTCGATAATAGTTACTTATGTATCAAGAGCGTGAAATATGCTTTTATTGACCGTATATAGCGTGTAAGTAGGAACACACCAAGGTCCATAAAACCATACACCATTTTATGCACGACCAGTATATTTGATTTTTCTTTGTGAATACCCTAATCATCACCTCTCAAGAGTGATAGAAACACATCATGGCCGCAATGAGGAATATCATTGATGGAATCGATGTTACCATGAACTCAGTCGATTTTTTGATATAGGAAAATACTATATATATATATTATATTTGCTGTCAAATAATTTCATTACAGATAACTTATTTTGGGTTCGACCATTCTGCATCTCAGAAGTATCAAGAGAACTGTAGTATAAAATGATGAACCATCACAACTAAAACCAAATGTCCTGAACAACACAGGACTGCTTATCACGAGTTTCCTATTCGCCGGACGGTGAAGTAGTTTACGAGCGGTAAAGTACTACTTTACGCACGGTCTTGCATAAAATAATTTATTGTATACATACATGAAAATTTTTCTTTGCAACTTATAGATCTACTACCAACTGCTGTTTCTCCTTGATATATGCATAGAATCTAAAAGTTCCCTTATGATTTAAGTGCCAGACCATCTCGAAACGAATTATGAGATCCACTTAAGTACGAATTAATTTTTATCAGGATCCCAACTAAAGCGTGTCAATAAAGCTAAAATGAGCCGTACGTATTTTACCCTCAGACTATTTCCCTATCTGCTAAATTAATTGATGTAGATAAATAGAAGAAAATATACCCGCTCTCATTAGTGGTATCGGCTTCAAAGAGAATGTGTATCGAACAGAATTCGTACTACAATCACAGCTGCCAACATAAATATTGGTACGTGATGCGGACGCTGTCACTTTGAGAAATGATTGCAACGGAGTGATTTGTACCTTTGGTATATTTATCGACGTTCAGCAGTTTCAGAAAGTGTATCCCTTCAGTATCACTAATGAGACCAATTATTATAGAACCAGATAATGCTTTTCTCATTTAACATCGAAACGAGTAAAAGTATACAGCTCAATAAATATTTGCAGGAAGTTGTGGTCAGCGGCTTCTACGACCAAAACTAGGCAAAAATGTTACAATTGCAATTTGGTATAAGAACTAAACGTTTCATGCCCAATGCGGTGAGCATTAAATTATTCCAAAGTTTAATTCAAGTGTGTATAATACAGGAAGGGACTACATTTCATATTGCTCAAACTCTTGCACCTTTGCTTCAAATTGACGTGATGTTGAATGATTTATTTCGTTCCGCCACAACAACGACAATCGGAATACTGCTGCTGCACTTTGGCGATACTCACTATCAATCCAAACTCGAAATCAATTGAGGAAGAGGATCCGAAGACTAAATGTTTTGATTCTCAACTGAGCTGAAATAAAGGTTCTGATATAACAGTTGACTCAAAATAGAAGTTTTCATAGTGTAATATCCTCATTTTCAATAGTTGAAAATTATAAAAATGATTGTTTTTCCTTTCAGCATGGAATAATAATTATTACTGCTACAGATTTAACTTTAACTAAGAAGTACTTATAGAAAATGATGAGAAATGCATATGCAAGCTTCAATAAGCATTTCCCCACTGATATTATTTTGGGCTATTTTGAAGAAGAACAGTATTCGGCATAATGAAGAAATATTCCCTGTAAAAAACTTCACAAACGATAAGATCGCTAACACAGTAGCTTCTCCAGGTAAAATACTTGTACAATAAACAGTTTATTGTATCAACCTGATGCTTAGCCTCAG